GCCAAGTAGCTGTCTTCTAAATTTCTTTGCATAAATAATTATGTCCAGCATTGCGTCCGTTTTTAAAAATACCTCAATTAAAATTCTATCTGTACCTGAAATTTGTTTTTTTTAATTTATTTTATTTTTTCAGTTCATCTTGGACTTTCTATGGTTCTTAATCATATGCTGCCTCCATTTTTTCTATTCCCTTTAGCTTCTGTACATTCTAGGTTCTAGATCAAATCATTATAGATTAACAGTGTTCACTATGAGAATACAGGCAGTATGGTAGTCATGATGTAACCAGTCATCCTGGCCCTAAATTGTTTTTGTTAGGTACTGTCAAGTCAGCTGTGACTCATGTTGTGTGCTTATGGAGTCATCTGCAACTCATAGTAACCCTGTGTACAATAGCTCTGATCTCTGCTCTATCCTGAGCCAGTCTCAATGTCTGTGACACACCTACCTCCATTATCACTGTTATTATCCCTGTTACTATGTCAGCCCATCTCTTCCAGGATCTTCGTCTCCTGCACTGTTCCTTGAGCCTTCCAAGCCTGATGTCCTCCAGGGACTGCTCCCTCCTGGTCACATGCCCAAAGTATATGAGATGGAACTTCAAAATCCTTGCCTCCAAGGAGCAGCCTGATTTCACTTTCTCCAGGATAAACCTGTTTGTTCTTTTTAGCAGTCCATAGTATGTTCGATACCCTTCTCCAGCACTGCAACTCAAAGGCATCAGTTCTTCTGTCATATTTGGTCATTGTCCAGCTCTCTGATGCATAGCAAGTAATTGCAAAGATCATGGCCTAAATCAGGCATACCTTAGTCTCTAGACTGACATTGTTGTTCTTCAGCACTTTCAAGAAGTCCCTAACATCAGCCTTCCCCAGAGCAATTTGTCCTTTGATTTCTTGACTGCTGGTGCCATGAGTGTTGATTGTGGATCCAAACAAACTGAAATCGTTAATAGCCTCAGTCTCTTCTCCATCCATCATGGTGCTGCCAGTTAGCCCAGTGGTAAGAATCTGTCTTCTTGATGTTCAGCTTCAATCCATACTGAAGACTGCAGTCCTTGACCCTCTGCAGTAAATGTTTCAGGTCATCTTCAGTTTCTGTGAGCAAAGTGTTGTTGTCTGCATAACATAGGTTGTGGATGCGTCTTCCTCCAATCCTAATGCCACATTCCTCGTCATAAAGTCTAGCCTCCCAAATGATCTATGAACAAGATTTAAACATGGCCCTATCATGAACCTTTGTCACAATCTCTATCATTCTCAAGCCTATTTCTATGTCCATTTCATTGAGGATCTTCCTCCCTTTTGCTGACCCTCAACCTTTTCAAGGACTGGCCCCTCCTTACAACATATCCGAAGAGCATAAAATGGAATTTCACCATCCTCGCCTTCAAAGAGCACTCCAGCTGCACTTCCCAAGTTATTCTAAGACAATTCAAGGCACCCTAAACCAGTCAAAGAAAATGGTAACATTGAAGTGTCATGATCATTTAGTTTCTCAGTTACTGGTTCTCCTAAAAGCTTCAAGTTTTTTAGTTATCTTGCTGTCCTTTACCAGCTCATTCCATCCTTACTTCATTGACTGCAAAAGTTACCTCTGCACTTCATAATCTGGACTGGATCTTTCAGGTTCTGCTTCCTGTATCTTTTAGTTAGCTACATATGGGGGCAAAGTAGAATCTTCTAGTCAGATACCATCTCATCATATATGGGAGGTAGAAATGCCATGAAGACTGTATTCTTTTTCTCTTGGATACTCTTATTTTCAATAAAAGCCATGGCCATATGAGATCTTCCTGCATCTGTTTCCAAAAGAGAATTGTTCAGTTTCTCCCCCAAGACTGTCTGCCTCCACTTCTCAACTCATCTCTCAAGTTCCAGGTGCTCAAATTAAAAAAGCTATAAATTATACTTTATTCTTCCCTTTCCTCTTCTTCCATACCCAAAATTTACACATGACATAACCTTGCTTGCTGAAACTGAGGAGGACCTGAAGCACTTGCTGCAGAAGGTCAAGGACTGTAGTCTTCAACATGGATTGAAGTTCAATATCAAGAAGGCAGAGATTCTCACACTGGGCAAATTGGCAGCACCACGATGGATGGAGAAGAGATTCAGGTAGTTAATAGTTGCTTGGCTCCACAATCAACACTCTTGACACCAGCAGTCAGGAAACCAAAAGATGCTGCCAGAGACCTCTCCAGAGTAATGAAAAGCAACAATGTGAGTTTAGAAACTAAGGTGCACCTGATCCAGGCCATTGTTTTCACGATTACTTCCTGTGCTTCAGAAAGATGGACAATGACTAAGGATGACAGAAGAAGAATAGATGCCTTTGAGTTGTGGTGCTGGAAAAGAGTCTTGAACGTACCGTGGACCACCAAGAAAACAGATACATCTGTCTGTCTTGGAGAGGGTGAAACCAAGTTTCTCCTTGCAGGCTAGGATTTTTGAAGCTCCATCTCATATACTTTGGCCATATAGCCAGGAGAGACCAATCCTTGGAAAAGGATATCAAGTTCAGAAGGGTGGAAGGACAGCGCAGGAGAGGAAGACTTTGGATTAAATGGATTGATACAGTAACTAGGGCCTCATTGTCCTAAGTGTGCCAAAGTCAGTGAGATTGGCTTAGGAGAGAGCAGGCTTCAGAGCTGTTGTATATGGGATTGCTATGAGTCATGAGCAACTCAACTGCACATAACAACAGTAGGAGGAAAAATAGAGACCTGGAGACTAGGGTGCGCTGATCCAGGCCATGGTCTTTGCAATTACTTGCTATGCATCAGAGAGCTAGACAGTGATTAGCAATGATAGAAGGAGAATTGATACTGTTGAGCTGCGGTGCTGGAGAAGAGTATTGAAATATACCATGGCTGCTAGGAGAACAAACAAGTTCATTCTGGAGAGCATGAAAACAGGCTGTTCCTTGGAGGCAAGGATTCTGAAGCTGCATCTGACATACTTTGGACATGTTGCAAGGAGGGACATCTTGCTTGGGAGGGTGAAGGGACAGTGCAAGAGAGGAAGATCCTCGTTGAGATGGATTGACTCAGTGACTCGGGTAGTGGGGGGTAGGTGTGTCAGAGACTATAGGGTTGGCTCAGGATAGAGCAGGGTTGAAGGCTGCTGTACATCTGGTCTCTATGAGTCTATGAGTTGCAAGCAACTCAACAACATGTAACAACAACAAACAAGCATTCTCAAGGACAGACATATAGTGTCAGACATCAGCCCTTCTGCCCAAGAGCAATGGCAAAGGTAAACTTAGATCTTGTGGAGTCCTTAACAAGGTTGCATCCCACTAAGGTATCTTGATCATTTTGGGGGTTAGACTAGGAGATAGTGGACTTATCCTCCTCTACCAGAAGTTTCCTGTCACAAATTATCAGTGCCTTGATGGAACTCATGCCACACATGAGATTTTACTCCTTTCTCAAAGAGGAAAGGGTTTGTTTCTAGGCCCAAAATTTAACCACAGATTAATATTTTGGTTCCTTATCTAGTGTGCATTGTAGCTGGTGTTAGATGGATCTTAGCTGAAAGCAGAGAATACCAGAGGAATGTTTTATCTGTGTTTCATTGACTATGCAAAGGCATTTGACTGTGTGGATCATAACAAACTGTGGCTGACTCTGAGAAGAATGGGAAACCCAGAACACTTGATCATACTAATGAGAAACCTATACTTGGACCAGGAGGCAATCGTCAGAACAGAGCAAGGGAACACTGCATGGTTCAAAATTGGGAAGGGTCTACGCCAGGGATGCATCCTATCTCCATACCTTTTCAACCTATATGCAGAACAGATTATCCGGGAGGCTGGGCTCTATGAGGA